CTGCTGGTGACAGCTTATTCTGCTGTCCACGCCGGTGGGACTGTGGTCTGTGTTTCCATGACACCTGCGCTAACCGGCCATGGTGTCCTCGCGCTGTGAGCTTCCTGGGAACTTCATTTTAAGGGCTGCGTCACACTCACCTGTGCCGTGGGGCGGTGGCTTTGACCAGGTGACGCCCCCCTGCTGACATTAAGGTGGCTGCTGCCCAAGCTTCTCTTCTCTCGTGTGGGTGTTTGATGCGTTTTGGATTGTGCCTTTGGTTCCCAGAAGTGTAATGACTGGATGAAAGGGCACGGGAAACAGAAGGTTCTGGAAACATGTTTCCAAACTGTTTCCAGGAGAGAGTCAATGCCCACCCCACCCACCCCACGACATCTGTTTTTCTCTCGCTGTGCTGGCGACAGTAGTTGTCCTTTCTTCCGGTTTTCAAAAGCTTAATTACTTTTTCGAGTAGACGACAGGTGACATACACAGGCTAGGACCCCCAAGCTGTTCCGACAAGTGAGTCTCCCCAACGCCAGTCCCCCCGGCCCTGAGGTAAAATATATACGACGTACAACTTGTCGTCAGAGCTGTCTGGTCTCTGAGTGCTAAGCACATTCGCACCGTCGTGCGGCCGTCCGCACCGTCACCTCCAGGACTGACTCTTTGTCCCCACTGCACAAGTGCCCACCGCCGGCCCCGGGCCCAGGCCCCCTCCATTCTGCTTCCTGTCGGCTCCCCCGGGGATCACACTGCGATGGGGCTGCCGGGTCGTCCTTTTCCGTCTTGATTTCTGTCTTGGTCCCTCCGACTGTCATGAGCCGGGGGGGCCTGTGGGGCTGATTCCTCGGGGTGTGCCCGCTCGTCCCCGTTCTTGACTGTACCTCGCTGACGAGCTTCTCCCTAGCACTTTGAGGGCTCCCGCCCCCCGACTCGCCCTTGCTCTGGTTTTCAGCTATCCCAGCCTGCGCCCACGGGGGAGACCGCCACCCTCTCCCCCAGCGAGGCCGGCGGCCCCTCCCGGCCTGTTTCTCTTGCAGACGCTGAGCCCCCAGAAGCAGGCGTTCGTCCTGGAGGTGCTGTCTGGGTGCCTCGAGTACCACAAGCTGCTGGCGGTCGTCGTGGACGCCTTCTATGTGCGGGACGGCCGGCTCTGCCTCTGGGCCGACTACAGCCTCTTCCGGGGTGCGCGCGGGCCTCCCGCCCAGCCAGGGGCCCCGTCCTGGGCCCGGCCTGCTGCCCTGCCTGCTGGGCAGGTGCTGTCCCCAGGGACTCGCGTGCTCTGCGCCCGCCCACCTCCCCAGCCCTGGCCCCATTCAGTAACCCCCACACCCCTCGCCCCCCCGGCTGCCTGCCCAACTTGCGGATGTGGAAACTCCAGGTGCTCTGGAGGCCTGGCCTGGCCAGGACTATGCCCCAGAAGGCCAGCCTGGGCGAAAGGACAAGCCGTTATCACTGCTCAGGTCCCGACCCGCCAACCCCAAGAACTGTGGACAGCACTGGCCTTGTAGCTGCAGCCTGGACTGTCCTGGGGATTAAACGGGCAATGTCTCTGTCCCGGCTCCCACGGGCTGTCTGCTCTCATGGGGGGTGACCATTGAGGGCAGGGGTGGGGACCGCAGGTGCTCAGAGGCCCGGCGGGGTGGCCCAATACCTGGTCCAGAGCTGTGTGGTTCAGATTCCATGGTCAGTGGTCAGCAGTGTGGCCTGCACACCTCGCAGTCAGCGTAACAAGCAGTCCCTGCCCCAGAGGTCCCTTGCCTAGCACAGGACACGGGTTCCCAGCTGCCGGAAGGAGGTCCTGTCTCTCAGGAGTGAGAAACTGAGGGCCAGGGGTTTTCCCTTTTACCTAGAGCCTTGGGACTTCCTGAGAGCTTACCAGTGAGAGAGCACGTGTGAAGTGCTTTGAAGCCACACAATGTCCCCCCAGCCGCTTGTCCTGCTGTGTCCCAGCTACCGTTTTCACTTGGGCGCCATAGGGCGTGTTCGCCTGTGGTTATGCGCCCTGACAGTGCCTCGGCTGACTCCCCGAGATGAAACGCTGAGGCGCCTGGCGGGGGGGACCCAGCGGCCCCCTTCGCACACTCACGCCTCCCCGTCCCCACAGTCATCTGCTACCTGGCCACTTTCCAGCTGGAGGAGCTTGGCCTCCAGCTCTTCTGTGACATCGTCAGGTCCCAGCCTGCAGACAAGATGCACAAGGTGAGCCACCTTCTCAGGCCCAGGGCACAGGTCTGTCCCAGCCGACCGCTCACCCTCCCGGCTCATTTTAACAGTAGCTCTGCCGGTTGGTTCTGTGCTTGTTTGTTTGTGTATTTATTTTTAAAGCCTCCAGCGCCTGGTCTTCCTAGCTGGTCTCCCATTGAAGTACTAACCAGGCCCGACCCTGCTTAGCTTCCCAGATCAGAAGGGATCGGGCTTGTTTGGGATGACATGGCCGTAGACGTGTTTCTGTGTTTAAAACTGAGGTTTCTTATCGCCGCCATGTCCTCCTCTGGTCTCCAGGAAATTTGAGTCCCACCCTCAATGTCCCAGGGGGTGGGAGCATTGGTCAGGGTGGGGGTCCTTGCCCGGTCATAGTCCATCCCTCTGGAACCTCCCCAGGCCCTCGGGGCCAGCGGGGCCTTGAAGTCAGCAGAGGCCACTACTCCTTGCTGGCCAGCGGCTTCCTGGGGGCAGGTCTTGCTCCTTCCTCATGGCCACCAGCTGAGGTCACTGCTACAGGGCACTCATCCCAGAGTTAAGGACAAGGGCACAGCGAGGTTCGGTCACTAGCCCAGCATCACACAGCAAGGCGAGCTGCAGGGCTCGGTCTCAGACCAGGCTTCGAATGGCCGCGCTGCTCCTCCGTGCTCTGGGGTCTCGGGGGGCTGTCACTAGACCAGGACAGTGAACCCTAGACAGGGTGACGGGCTCAGGCCCCAGGAGCACTTGGGGCCTCTTTGGACGGAAGCAGCCAGCTCCGCGGGTAGTTCGAGAGGGGGGCGCAGGGGTGGAAGCCTCCACCTATCCCCCACACCTGGGCGAGGGGGACCTGGAGCAGTGACCTCCACCAGGGCCGTGGCCCCAGAAATCCAGACTGGGGACTCACACAACCCCTCAGCCACCCAACAAGCGGGAGAGAAAAAGCACTGACCCCAGGTCGTGTTTTATCTCCATAATTATCTATGTATAAACAGGAGCAGTTCATGATGGATGGATATTTGCCTAGTTATCTTAAGCAAGAGCTTCCTTTTTATGGGGAAAAAAAAAAAAAAACAAAACGGGCAGCTTTTGTGCGTGGCGTTTGGAGAGGGCCAGGGCTGGCTTCCTGGGCTCAGAGGCCTGCACCAGGTCTATGCCCTGCCTTGCGGGTCTCAAAATTCTTAATAACTGTTGAACAAGGGGCCCGCCTGTCATCTTGACCTGGGTCCCACAGTGATGACCCAGCAGAGCCTGGAGGAGGTGGCACAGGACCCCATGGGGCCACCGTGCAGTGCAGACACAGGACAGATGGGGCGTGGTGGCCTCGGTGCCCCCGGTGCAGGGGCGTCTACCTCCCTAGAGAGTTTCTAGAAGAACACAAGCCCCCTAGGGACCTGGGAGCTGCAGGGGTGGAGCTGTACCCTGCAAGGCCTTACCTCAGTCCACTCCCCATGCCCACTGGGCAGCGCCAGTCCCATTAGGGTCCACCCTCCTCAGGGTCAAGGGGAGAGGTCAGCCTGAACCTCAAAGACAGGGACCAAGCTGCTGGGGATGCAGTGATCACCTGCAGCGCCTCCAGGGAGCCCCCATGGACCACAGCGGGGTGCTGTGCCCAGGCTGGGTTTCAGGCAGCCTCAGCCGTGGTCTGCACAGGAGACGGTGCCGTGTGCAGCTACGGGCAAGGGGCTGAGAAGGCCTCTGTGGGGCAGGGAAGGTGGGGAGAGACTCCGGGGGTGAGGGTGGGGTGGGGCGGACAGGGGCCAGACTGCCCAGTGCGGGGAGCTGTCGAAGGCTCTAGAAGGACATCTAGAGGCTGTTACGTGAAGAGGGTGTGGAGGCCCAAGGTGGGTGGGAGTGAGGACGTGGCTGCGGGGGTGCAGGCCGCACTGGGGGGGCAGCGGTGACAACCAGAGGCCCTGCTTTTGCCCACCGCCACCCCGTCACTGAGCATTGAGTTCACAGCAGCTGCAGAGGCCACTGCGTGTCACAGGCAGGAGAGCCTGCTCAGCCCCCTGGCCCAGCGTGCAGCCACGTGGACCCCACAGGGGTAGACTCGGGTCTGCAGCCCTCAAGGGCCTGTGGGGCCAGATCCACAGAGGCTTCTGACACGGGACTGCTCCCTGTGCTACCTCGGCCGCCCCGCTGAATGACCTGCTCCAGGGGACCCAGACAAAGGCACCACACGTCCCCACAAAACCATCCTGGGAGACAAGTGCCAGAGCCCTGTGCACGGGGTCTGCGGCAGCCCCCAGGGTGTCGGATAGAGAGGTCTGCAGGGGCCCCTTGACTGGATATGGCCCTCCAGGCCAGGCTGTGGTTTCGGCTTGGTGGACACTCCCACCAAGAGTCCCCCCCAGGGGGCCCCAGGCACAGCTGCTCCCGGAGAGGGCTGGGGGCCCGAGCTTCGTGTTGGCTGTGCAGAGGGCCACCTTGAGGGGCCACAGGCAGCACCCTCTGGAAGCCGTCCTCAGTGCCCGGAGGCGGCAGGCCTCGCTGGGAACCAGAGTTGGCCCTGTGTCTTCTGGAACCACAGTTGTTAGACTTCGGGTCCGGGAGCTGGGGAGTGGCCTTCAGAAGCCCATGGCCGTGGGGAAAGGAGCCTTGGTCCCAGGGCCGGGCCTGCCACCCACTGAGACCCTGTGAGGGCTGGGTGGACAGGTGGCTTCCCTGCACCCTCCCTGGGCAAGGGGGGCAGGGTGCAGAACACGGAGCTGCCCCGTTCCAGGACTCCCACAGCCTGTGGGGCAGGGGAGGCAGGCAGCTGTCCTTCTGTCCCCACCAAGAACTCTCTGGAAGTGGGCTGTGGGCCACCAGGTCCTGGGGAGCTGGCTGCAGCATGGAGTCCCCACTAGCGAGGACCTGCCCTGCTGGGCTGCCCGGAGCCCCCAGACACCACGAGCAGGGGCCCTGGTGGTAGGGGCAGCTCTGCGGGTCCGGTCGGGAGCCCCAGCCCAGCATGGGAGGTGTCCCCTTCTGTTTCCTGGGAGGGAGGGTCTGTGCCTGGGACCTCCCACCGTGGCCTGGGCACCGGTCCCCCCTCCTGGTGCATCAGCCACGCCCTCCCCGTGGGGGCGGGGCCTCGAGCGGGTGTGGCTGGGGGACTGGGCCGGGGGACTGGGCCGGGGCCACAGCTCCCATGTCTCCCCCAGTTCCTCAGGTTCTTCTTCAACCCCTTACACCTGTGCTCGTGGATCAAGGACGAGTGGAGCCTCATCCACGAGTCGGCCCACGTGAAGGAGAACTGGATCGATCCTCTGATGAGGTGCGCCGGGCTGGGGTATCCGCGGTCCCCTCCTGCTCACGGGAGCCCCCCGAGGGCTGGCAATGCTCTGCATCAGGGCGAGGAGGTTCAGAGAAGCCCCTGGGGGGAGAGCGGCCCACCCAGAGACACGGGCTGACGTCCACTGCAGGCAGTCTGCTGGCTGGGGATGGCCTTAGGACCCACCAGGTCAGTGGGCGGAGAGCCGGCCCCTTCTGCCCCGGAGCCTGCGCCTGCGGGTGAAGCAGGTGCCTGTGACTAGCCCCAGCTTTGCCGGGACCCTGCAGGGACCTCGTAGGGGTCCAGGCCTGCCCAGGCTCTCCCTGCGGATCCGGGGCAGGGGGCCCCAGGTGGAGTTCAACCGACGCCTCCGTCTGACGTCCCCAGAGCTGCCTGGCTGCCTTTCCCTGCCCCCCATGACAGGCTTAAGCAAACGCTGGATTCGCCGGGGCCTGGCCCTGCCCTCGGCCTCCACGCAGAGGCTGCTGGGCCAGAGTGCAGCTGTCCCTCAGCTGTCTGCCTTCCCACAGGACTGGGGGAGCCACCCTATTCTCTGGGGACAGGTGGATGGACTGTTTTGACACAAGCAGACCACAGAGGTCAGCTGTGCGCAGGAGACCCAGAGGCCCAGGAAGGCGGAAGCCCCTCCCGTGGAAGAGGTGGCCCTGGCCCCTGGAGCTGTCCGCACCGCAGGGAAGTTCTCAGTCCCCAGCCGGCTGGGGGCCAGGCTGGACTCGTTGCCACCTGTAGCCCGGGCCTGCCAGGCCTGGAGAGCCACATCTGGGCAGCTGTTGAGCTGGTCCTAGGGTGCCCCGCCTTCTGCCCCACCCCACACGAGGCCACACAGCCCCATCACAGCTCTGTCCCTTCCCACTTACTGTCGGCCTCCGACATGTGCTTCCTCCCTTGGGGGCTGTGGTCCTCCAGTGGGGCAGGAGCTGTTTCAAACCATGCCGTCTGCCCCCAGGGGAGCCCCGCAGCGGGGGACTCTGGCCAGGTTGGTGGTGGGCTGTGCCTGCATAGGGTGGGAAGGCAGGAGAGGGGGGCCCTGGACTTTGGGGCCTCCGACAGCACAGCTGCAGGAAGGGTCCTTTGAATTGCTGGCTTCCTTGCCCTGCGCCGTGTGCTCAGGCTCAGGGGAGCTCCACGGCCCTGCCGCTGCTCGTCCTCAGAGCCCTCCGGGTCCCTGCAGCGGGACTGCCCTGTCCCCGCCCTCCTGGCTCCCCACGCACCCTGAGGACCTCAGTCTCCTCCCCCGCGCTAGGGAAGCGGGGGTCTCTGGCTCTGGGGTGTGGCTGGCACGGTGCCTGCGGAGCAGTAGGCACTCAGTGAAAAGGGGCTGTTGGTTCCATTATCATCCCCCAACGCCTTCTCCACCTACTTCAGAAGTAACCTCTGCAGCTTCTCCCACCTTCCCCTTCAAGATGGCAGCCGGAAGTGCAGGAGCTGATCAACCAGCTGGAGCAGGTGTTGGCCAATCAGCCCCCTCCCTCAAAGACGAAAGCCAAGGTCACAGAGCCCAAGAAGTTCAACCTGACCGTCCCCAGGCCCCGTGCCATTCCAGTGCCCGAGCCAGTCCCTGTCGTGGCCAAGCCAAGACCAGTAAGTGTGGCATTTGGAGGGGGCACAGGCCGTCCAGGCAGGGGGAGTGGACTGGGTGGGCCAGTGGGTGCTGCACTCTCCCCACGGCCCAGGGGATGCTGGACCAGACCAGGAGCATTCGATGACCCCACCCCACAGAGGGGAAGCCCCGCTGACCGAGCCCGCCCGTGGGTTCCTGCAACCGTGTGCCGAGGGCCTGTCAGGAGGCACGGGCGAGGCTGTCGGGCTGCGGGGCGCCCAGTTGTCTGGACGCGGTGCTTGGGGCCCACGTGGTGTCATGCCCCACGCCCTCCGCGCTGAGCAGTGCTCGGGCAGATGACAGCGTGCTCTGAGGGAGGGAGGCCGTGCTCCTTTGCCTTTTTAGTGGACGTGGTCAGCTTGGCGAGGCCAGGGGCTCCAGTTCTTTGGGCCATGGGCAGGCAGTAATATCTGTCTGCGTGACCCAGCCACATGGCCTGACCTCACCTCCGCACGCACACCTGTCTGCCTAGAGCCGCTCTCCCTGCTCCGTGCCTTGCCGCCGGCCCCTGTCAGCCGGGATGCTTTGTATGCACACACCAGGGCGAAGCAGCCCAGCCCGGCTTAGACAGCGGAGAACCTGCCGACCCTCGTTGCCGCAGTAGGACAGGCATCAGGCATAGTTGGGGGTCTGCTTCTCTGTGGCTGTCTGTGCCCTAGTCCCATCTGTGGGTCCACTTCATCTGTGGCTAACATCTGTCATTGTAGCGAAGCATCCAGGCCTCCCGCACAGATTCCACACTGTCCAGGGCACGAGAGGACATCGAGGCCAAGGACTCTGTGAAAGTGTGGTTAGTCCAGCTCAGGCCGTATGCCCGCCTTTGAGCTGATCACCGTGACCGGGGCCTCGTGTTCCAACTGGTCAAAGGCTCCACCTGCAGCACCTGCGGTGGGCTCAGCTTCCCAGAAACCAGCTGCTGCCCCAACAGAACTGACGACTGTGCAGAGAGTAAAGGGCCGTGGCCAGGACGTCGCAGGTCCCAGCCCGCTGGCCGCGCGTCCCAGCGACCCCTCACCTGCACCAGCTCCCTCCGTGGTCTCCTTTGCATCGACACCAGCTCCTTTTCTTTGTAGCATCGATTAGATTCTATCGTCGTTTAGTGACTTATGGGTCTGCTTGTTATCTGTCTCCTTTACCGGACCTCGTCTATCTTATTTGTGCTGTGTTCCCAACGCCTGGCACAGTCCTGGCTCAGATTAGACCCGTGGTAAATGTGTATTGGATGAATGGATGGTGGGTGGATGGATGGATGGATGGTGGGTGGATGGATGGAGGGATGGTGAGTGGATAGACAGATGGTTGGATGATGGGGGGTGGGTGGATGGATAGATGGTGGGTGATGGGTGGGTGGTTAAATGGATGGATGGTGGGTGGATAGACAGATGGATGGGTGGATGGATGGTGGGTGGATAGACGGATGGTTGGATGGATGGTGGGTGGATAGATGGTTGGATGGATTGGCCGAATGGTGGATGGTCCCAGTTGTAGGTCAGCATCTTCTCTTCCTGCCCTGCTCCTCCTGGGTGGGAACACAGCCCACCCTCCACCCACGTCCAGCCACCGCCAGCCCCATGTTTCTACACACCTTCCAAATGCAGCCACCTACCAAGGAACCTTCCTCCTGCCACCCGCCAGGTCCCCAGGAGCACCTACCAGCTGCCCGAGGAGCAGCAGATTCTAGAGATGACCAAGAGGTGCAACCGCCGGAAGGCGGAGGTGAGCGAGCTGCACGGGGCCCTGTGTTTTAGAGAACCCCGGGAGCAGGGCGACAGGAAGTGGGGAGGGGGAAGGAGGGGTGCTTGTCTGTGCCTTTGCGCCTGAGGCC